ATTAATTCATTTAAATTAGAAAAATTGAAATAACTATTTTTTTCAGTTAATAATTCTTTTTCGCTTTTTGTAATTATTTTTAAGCAAAAATTTTCAGTTTTTTCCATAAATATTTTTTAATTATCAAGCAAAAGCCATCATTATTGTATCATTATAGTAAAACAAACAAATTGTTGGTTAAATTCAAGTGATTTATTACGTCAATATGCAATTAGTCAACTAGAAATTTATTTAATTTAAATAACGAACTTACTTAAAAGCAAAGTTTTGTTTTATTTAATTTTACTTATTTGACGGAATCTATTTCAGTGTAATCAATGATAAACTATATTGCAAGTGCTAACGTGAAGCAGCGAAATAGACATTTTTGGCTTGTTAATTTGTTCACTTGAATTTAATTGCTTGTTAATTTGTATACTTAAATGCTTAATAATAGAAAAAATATATTTTTTAAAATTATTTTAGCATTTTTTGAGTGTTTTAAATTTCATTTCAAAGCAGATTGCTAAATAAATTAGTTTGCTTCTAATCTTGCAAAAATTTACGTATTTAAATAAATCACATTGCAATTTTTGCAAGAAACTTTTTTTAATATTAATAATTTTAAAAGTCAAATTCAAAAAAATTTGAAAACACTTTAACTATTTATAAGTAATTATAACTATACAAATTTTAAACATACAGAAAAATCAACCACATACAATAATCTTTAAATCGTTTTATAAAAATATATATAGTTATTTAAGCGATACATTTTATTACTATTATTTAAGTGTTCTGTTTGTTCTTTGTTTAATTATACTTAACTTTTTGAAAACGAAATTTAGCTGATTAATATTAAATTAGCTGTAATTAAATAAGATTTATTTAAATTTATTCTACAATTGTAGCATTTTTAGTGTATTAGTATTACTTTGAACGAATTTCGAGTGTTGTTTATTAATGCTTATAAAAATAATAGAGCAAAATTTTATTCATCTCAAAAGTAATTACTGAAAGGTTAAGCACCAGGTAAACGTTATTAGCTTTTAATTTATGCAAAAGAAAGTAGCCTCTCAACTTTTACTCATTTAGCTAATGCAATGACTTCAGTGCACAAGCTTTATCCATCTCCTTATATTTTGCATCATATTATTATGATTCTATGTTTATTAACAACAATCATTTGATTTTTTTTTCTATAATTTTGAACGAAACTTACTTTTATACTAATTATAAAATTTTTAAAATAATTTAGCAAAATTTTTAAGTTTTTAATAAAAAGAGTTAGTCTTTAGGTAGAATGAAGCTGTTTAGTTAAATCAGTTATGTGTATTACTTTGTGTTTGTGTACTTACAATCTTAAAATTCTGTAAAATATTAGATAGACTGTTAACACAAAACAGTAATTGAATTTAATAAAATAAGTAAAAAAACTTTTTTTAGTAAATAAAATTTACAAAAAAAAAGATGTCAAGTGGTAAAAATTGTCATTATAAAGGCAAAATCATGGTTAAAATGAACGAATTTCGATAATGAAGCAAAAATATTATATTTAAATAAGTGCTATTATTTTGTTTACATTTTTCTTTCATTTTCTAATATTTAAAGAAAAAGTTTTTTGAGGAATACAAAAAAAAATTAATTATTAATAAAAATAAAATGCAAAAAAGTTTTTTTATTTTGGATATTTTAAATTTTTCAAAATTCCAAGAACAATTGTTATTCAATTATATTTCTTTGATTTTTTCTTTTTTTAAAACAGCATTATTTTTACTTTTTCAAGCATAGAGTGTAATAAAGTTGTTAGGATTTATCATTTTCTAGAAAGTTAAATTCAGAAATATCTTCAATATTTTTATAAAAAAGTAAATGTTCAATTTTTGCAAAAATTAAAATTTTTAAGTATTTTATGTTTTATATGACTTCTTCATCTTTTTTAAGAGAAAAAAATTACTTTTGATAAAACTTTTTCATTTTTTTTCACCTATTTTTTCTAAACTATATTGACTTTTTTTGAATTAACATTTGTTCAAAAAAATCTGAAAAACTTCTTGAAATCACTTAAAACTTTTCAAAATTGTACCAAACTACAAATTTTTACATTTTATTTTTTTTATCTTTTTTTTTTCATTTTCCAAGTTAAATAATGTTTTTTTTAGATTAGCTAAAAGTTTTTTGCACTCATTTTTTTAATAGCACCTATCTATATTTACACTAATCTGTCTTCATTTAGTGATTATTTGACTTTTAATGCAAAATATAAAAAGCAAAACTTATTAACCTTTTAAAGTAATACATATTTTATCAGACTATTTCAAGTTAGAAAGTCACTAATACTCTTATTATTTTCTCATTGACGTTAGCTGTAAGTCATCAAAAATTCGAATTAATATCAAAAATTGTCTCTCAATTATATGCAACATTTATTAATAAAAATTGCTTAATAATTATTTACTTAATTTCTTTTTTAAAAACATTTTTTTCGTTATGCTAACATTTTTAAAAAAGTTTTTCAATTTTGCAAATTCTTTAAATGCATTTTATTATCTCCTAAAAGTTATTAAAAATTTGCTATCATTAAGATGCAGGTGAAAAATTTTTTTCAAATAATGAAATGCATTAATTTAAAAATGATTTTTTATTAGTTTATATTTACTTCAAAATATTGAATCATCAAATAATTTGTAATAATATTATTTATATATTGTATTTAAAAACATTGTACAATTAAATAAATTATAATAACTGACAATATTTTTTTGTGATAAAGACGCAAAATTAAAGTAATAATAATAGTGATATTTGCGATAATCAGTATTAAAAAACACTATTAAAAATTGATTAAAAATATTTTATACAGAAAAACTAGAATACATTTATATTGTAAAACTTTAACTCTAACTTTTGAAATCAGTAAATTATTCATATTTTATTTTTTCTTTACTTCTAATTTTACTTAATTTTAATAATAAATTAATAGAAGCAAAATTCGCAATTTTTCATCATTACATTTCATCGCAGTTAATCAAAAATAGATAAATAAATAAATAAAAGATTAAAATAGTCAATAGTAATTAAATTGTACATTAAATATACAAGCTATTTACTGGCAATATTTTTCAAATACTTCTGCTTGATATTTAAAAGCAAAAAAAAACCGGAAGATAAAGTTCTGCGAGTACCGGAAGCACTTGCAAAACTTTTGCATTACAACAACTTTAATCAGTACACACAGCTTTTTCTTATTAAAAAAAAACAATTTCCATATAAATATTTTGAGTTAACTTTTTTTTGTTTTGAGTTAAAATTTTTTTATGCAAATTTTTGCTATTTATTATTATTTATAATAAATATTGCTGAATTTTGCAATTGTTTAATATATAACAATACTATATAACAAAAACTGACAAAAAAAGGATTTTCCACAGAACAATTAAAAAATATGCATAGCATTTTTATACTGGACTAACACTTTTAAAATTAGTAATTTATTTATATTTAATTAACTTTTTAAGTTATTATTACATTTGAGTTTAACTGTAGATTAATAAAAACGAATAATTTTTAAATTTTTAGTATTGAATTTCATAGTAGTTAATCAAAAAGACGTAAATTAATTGTAAATTTAACCTAAACCTAAATCTTTTTTTTGATGTGCTAAAATTATTTTACAAAAACTGTTAACAAGAAATGGGAGTATAAATAACAATAAAGTAAAATTTGACTTACGTTAGTTTGAAAAATTCATTTTTTTTTTGAATGACGGATAATAGAAAATGAATTGTTTTTGCTAAATTTTAAGTCATAAGTTTGATTTGAATTTGTTCAAAATTTAAGTCAACCTGAATTTTCAAACTAAGTCATTTCAAAATTCTCATTGACTAATTAGATCTGTTCCTGATTTTCTCGAAACTGTATAAACATTTTAGCACAAATAATCATCAATTTTTTTATTCCAAAAGTTTATGAAAAATACAAAATAGCACATGAACTATAGCATATTTGCCAAAAATAGATGGCGTGATAAATCATTTGTTGACCTATTGACCTCAACAATGTTCTTTCACAAATTAACAATTCAAGAATTTCTAGTGATCTTCAAAGATTAATTGAAGTGTCTTTTTGACCCCTTACATTTTGCTTCCATCCAGTGCATTTTGCTTTTATGATTTTTTAAAATTTATTCTGATTAATTTTTTAAAATTCATCCAATCAATAAATAATTAAGTTATTAAGTGATTTCTATGATTTGTTATCAGAACAAAATACTCACACTAGTTATTAGTATTAATTGAAAACAAGCTATTTAAAATGACAATTATTTGAACAATAATTTAAAATTCAAGTTTGAAAATACTTTAGAAATATAGACATTGATGGGATAAATGAATGGCAATGTTGGCATGAAAAGTATAAGTACTCTGATAAAATTATTAGTACTGATTATTAACAGCATTTTTTATCTGTACGACGCTGTCGCATCTGCCGAATCAACAGAATTCGGTACTTTTGTTTATTCGTTTGATTTTTTAACTCAAATTTTGTTTTCTTTTCAAAATTTGAAATTGAAATGTATTCTAAGTGTAATAAAATTTTTAAAAATAAAGCTGAAATTTATAAAGAATGAAGTGATGCAGAAGAATTGCTGCTAAGCTTAAAAATTTTTAATTAAAATTGACGCTTGAATGACTATTTTGTTAAAGCTGATTTTTTGAAAAGTCAAACAATATTCATAAATGCAAAAGTGTAAGCAGATATTTAGTTCATCTAAAAATATTCAAATTATTGAATTCAATAAAACACCTACAAATTGTTTTTATCTTCAGAAGATTATAAAATTTAAGAATCCAGCACAAAATTTGATAAAAATATATTCAACTTATTAAGATTTTTATTAATATTTTCAAAAAAATAAGCAGATTTTAAGAAAAAGCTTGGAAAATTAATGTTATTTAAGAAAAAAATTTATAATTTTTAACAAAAGTACTGATGAAATTAGTAATTGGGACTAGAAATTAATGGTATTCTTTCAATTGGCTTACTTAATTTTGGAAATTTTTTTGAGCACATATTTCGCCTTTTTTTATATTATTTATTATAATTAATCAAAAAAGTATAATTTGATTATTGTTAGTTATTAGTTATTATTAGTTTTTAGTAAATTGTTTTTGCTCATTTTTGTTATTTGCTTTGCAGGTACTATACCTCGTCGATTTGAGTGCTTTTCGTGTATGTCATTAAGTTATCAGGAACGTTGGGAACACTTGCAATATATTTATACTGCACCTAAGGTTTCACTTTTGAAAAATTATTTCAAACTTTAAAATTAAGCTTTCAAAAAAATTTTTAAAAAGTTTATGCATTGTTATGTCTTAAAAAAATTTGCTCATTAAAGACGATTTAAATGAATAATTTAAGCAAACAAATGCATTAAGCTTATATCAAGCGTTATGTGAAACAAAAAAAGTATGCTTTTAATCTGCGTAACAAATACACGCATAAGTAGTAAACAAGTTTTAAATCCAAAATAAGCAGTTAATGATTGAAACTTAAGATATAAAAGTGAATATTGAAGCAATTTTAATGAAGAATATTTTCTAGCCTTATTTTTTTCAGTGTCAAAAGAAATTTAAAAAACTGAAATTTTCGTAAACATATTTGAAAAGTCACGTGAAAAATTTACATTTTTATGACTTTTACGTGATCTTTGAATTTTTTTAATACTTATTTTATTATTATTTATAACTGAAAGTCATTATTGAATCGATAATGAAATTTTTTTAATAATACAGTTTAGGTATTTACAAATAGATGCAACGAACCACAACTTTCAAATCATATTCCAACGATTATTTGTTCAACTATGTGTGTAAACTTGCTTGAACCTGATGTTGAAGCTGGTTTGTTAGCAGCTATTTTAACAATTAGTATGAATAGAGTAGATATTTCTGATTTGGTGTACATTAGT